TCATGGGTTTCCCCAAAGTCGTGTATGAAGGCAGCTTGTATTTCTATTGGGATATGACGGAATTCTGCCCAATAGAAATCTTCCATCATCTTACGTCGCCGCTCATCTGGACCCTGCTTTTGAGGAACCCATGGATATATTCGGATTTCTGACCGATCACATCTCAACTTTCTCCATCCATCTATTATCTTTTTGTCTTCTTCATGAATGCTGAGGATTGTAAAAACTGTTGATGACACAGGCTGGATTAGAATATCATCTTGGACGGCTTCATGGTTTCCTTTTAGTGATGTCAGTTGTCTGCTCACCCATTTGATTTTTTCATTAACTGATTTGAATGCTGCGTCGCCATGGAATACCCAATTGTTTGCATGGCGTTGGTATACTGCATCTCGTTGTATTACCATCTAAGTTGGATATGTTTTAACCATAGATTTTTTTCCTCCATTGTCTATCACTTTATTTTCAGATGGACTGATTAGTTTAGATAGAAAAAAACTCTAGCAGATGATAAATTTGACAAAGGTATTTGAAGCGGTGAATCCTGTGGACCTGTTCTTTTGACTTCGAGTGTTTTGTTCTGAAAAGGACCCTTTGTTTTTTCCACCCATGACTGAGGGACTCCTCTCATACTTGTTCCTTGTGCATCTGAAGAAAGAGAATGAGAGGTCATCACACTGTTTCATGAAGGGGGAGGTTCGTTGCCTATCATTTTACTTTCCTTTCCTTCTCCCCTGTTTTCACTGTTCTCTACCCTCTTATCCTTTTCTCCTTTCTTAGTTTTCTTTTGTCCTTCTCCTCTATCCCCATACCTTTCTCCATTTCCTTTTCTTCCTTCCCTGCCTCTCTCAACTCCCTCCTGTATAGAAGGGAAGGACATCTCATATTGCGAGGGCCCAGATCCTTGCTGAATTTATGAGAAAACCTGTTGATCTGTGAATGGAGATGCGAATGATTTTATTTCGTTGGATGTGTTCTTTGTACCTGAGTTATTTGACTTCATTCCTCCTTCTTCTCCTCCATACAGTGGGTTAATTGCCATAATCTGATTGTAGTGATTCTCTTCTCTCCCTCCTTTCCTCATACATGAAGAGATGAGGGAACCCATAGGGGAGGAATTTATCTATTAGTGCACGACCATTGAAGAGAAAAGAGGATTTTGTGAAACTCTTTCCTCTTCGGTGAGGACTTCCCCTTCAGGTGAGAATGCCATGGAATGATTTTTTCCTATGGTTTGCATTTGTTGGCTTTGTAGGACTCTTCTTAATGGTGTATGCATTTGTCTTTCTGCCATCTGCCTCATTGCCCCTCTGAACATGAGCATAGAATCCACCTGACGATGTACCCTCTGATGGTGAATAATACGAGTCATTTTGCACAACAGATTTATCTCCCAATAAAGTAATTAATTTACGAAGAAAGAGAATAAATCACCTCCAATTACAACTATTATCCAATTTTCAGATTTCAGAATTATTATTATTATTATTATTATTATTTTTTATTATTATTTTTTTTAACCAAAGGTTGAAAACAACTCACCACACCATTGATATACAGTCAACCTTTGTGTGTATTTTGTGTTATTATTTCTTCTGTTCTTCCGTTTCTGTTTAAATTAGTATTTGTATTATCATTTATCAATCCTTTCCTTTCTGTTGTGGTTGGGAGGGACCATTGAAGAAGGAGGGAACTGTGAGAGGATCAGGTGGAGGAAGGCTGGGAAAACGAGGTGCTTCCCTTTTTGACTTCGTACTCTTGTCAACTGTCCTTCTTCCAGCCTGATCTGATTCCTCCCTCTTTCTTCTTGTTAACCCCCAATGGGTTAATGACTTTACGAGCCGCTGCTTTGTCTTGCACTGCCCTCCTCTCCTTCCTATTCCTCCTTCCACTTCTTGTTGAAGGGGTCGACCCCACTCCTTGTATCCAACTTCGGGTGAGAAAGTCATATAAACCGTGCACAAACACTCATTTCTGCACAATGATTACGGTGATTGACCTTCCTTCTCCTCTTGCTTGCCTTATGCTGTTGTCAAAGCAGACAAGATGATGATCCTCCCGATGTCGGACCACCTAGCAGTGTTTACCGTGAAAACGAGATGTGATGACCATCACAATGTTAGACAACCATTGTAGCAGACAAGGTGATGGTCCTCCCAATGTCGGACCGATGTGATCACCGTCGAACAGCCACTCCCCCAAACTTGTTGCATAGATCAGTCTCTCGCCAGAAACACTTCCCGTGCGTTGTTGATGATGATCCTCTCAATGTTGGACCGCCTAGCAGTGTTTGTCGTGAAAAGGGATGTGATGACCATCACAATGTCGGACAGCCGCTGTAGCAGACAAGGTGATGATCCTCCCAATGTCAGACCGCCACGCAGTGGTCGCCGTGAAAAGCGATGTGATGCCGTTACGATAGTGGACAATCACTCCCCCAAACCTGTTACATCACAACTTACGGAGATCAGGCGTATTTCCCCCTTCTCGTGTGTTGTTTGATTGTGACATCTTCATCACACTGTCTGATAGCTACTTCCGCCAGCAGCACTTCCCGTGCGCTGTTGATTGTGACCATCGAAGTGATGACTGTCACTTATGACGGAATGTTGCGTTATCGAAACGAGAAGATGAAACAAGCGCATCCTCCCCCCTCCCGCTTGTCATATGTACTAACCTCGACATTGTGATGACTTCAGATTATTGCGAAGAGCTGCGCATTTGATCCCGCACCCTGTTAGCGATTGGACATGAACAGCGCCCTTCCCCCTCTCTCATTTCGTGCTCTCGAAACAAAAAAGATGAAATGTGCTTCCTCCAGCGCACGCCTCCCCCCTCACCTGCCGTACCCACGGCTGATGGTGGAGATTTGCTCCCTCGACATGAGTAGTGCGTTCCCCCCCTCTCGCTTTTGTTCGTACACGACTCTCGACGATGTATTGTCTTCAGATGATTGCGGAGAGCCTCGCCTTTGACCCCGCACCCTGTTAGAGATTGGGCACGAGCAGTTCTTTTTCCCCCTCTCGCCTTCCGTGCACTCGAAACATCCTAAACAAGAAGATGAACAAAATGCGTTTCCTATTCTTCATCACCCAGAACTTCAATCGGCACCGCTGATTGAGAACCTCAGTTCTCGGACCGCTGTCGTCGTCCTTGCCCCGCGAGTCTGTCATTCAGTCATTGATGACGGAAACCATCAGCCTTCCACATAATGTATGAATCTACATGTAATCTCCTTCTCTTGGCTCATGATAGTTATGAAGTCGTCCTGGTCGCGCCAATTACCTTCCTCGCTACTACCAGAAGCCACGTGGCAATAGTGCCACCTAGACACCTCTCATGGAGTTGTCGGCCTCATGTTCGACACAGTCTTCCTACTTATAATAGTGCCACGTAGACACCTCAGCACCGCTGATTGAGAACCTCAGTTCTCGGACCGCCGTTGCCGTCCTTGCCCCACGAGCCTGTCATTCAGTCATTAATGACGGAAAACATCAGCGTAGCTCATGATAGTTTTGAAGTCATCCTGGCTGCTCCAATTATCTCCCTCACCTCTCTTATCTAAACGTTGCTGCCAGGAGCCACATGGCAATAGTACCACCTAGACGCCTTGCCCCGCAATCCTGCTGTGGGGGTGAGACAAGCAATAGCATCATTCAGTCGTTGATGACTGAAACCATCACCAATTAGCCTTTCACATAATGTATGGATCTGTGTGTAGTCTCCTTCTCGTTTGTCATGATAGTTCTGAAGTCGTCCTGGCCGCACCGATTACCTCCCTCTCCTCGGTTATCCAAACGCTACTGCCAGGATCCACGTGGCAATAGTGCCACCAAGACACCCTAGCACCGCTGACTGAGAATCCTCAATTCGCAGACCGCCGTCGTCGTCCTTGCCCCGCAAGCCTGCTGTGGGGGCGGGACAAACAATAGCGCTCCACCCGTCCCTTAGCACTAGTATGCTGTCCTCCTTGGCCGGCGATTAATGCGGTCCGTTCTTTCGTAAATCCAAAAGTATCTGTGATTGTCGCCAACGGGCCTAGCTCTTTTTTATTTTTTTCTTTTCTTTTTTTGGACAATAGCTCCAGTCTATTCATGGGGAGCAGCACGTGCTGGGAACTGGGTCCAGCGTCCCATCAGAATTTTACAACATATGAGTTACCGGGGCCATTACCCGGCTTCGGCTAAGAATTTACGGATTAGAAATTCGCCATTACCTGGCGTTGGCTGAGAACTATTAAAGGAGTTCAGGTAAATTTGGGGAAAAACTGGATAATTGCTGACCTATTGCTAGGCCACTCAAAAGCCACAGAAGTCCTTTGAATGCTCAAAAACCCTAGACTCCCTAACAAAACACTCTAGAGATCTCTAACAATGTCTTATTCACTGTCGAGCTCTCCCAAGCCTCATGCCCCTACCCTGCTAGGTTACAGGGCAACACGACTCACCCCAGCTCTGGCCGCGTCGTCCTGACAGCAACCCTTGGTTTTCCTTTGGAACGCCCGTCCTAAGGCATCCCCAGATCTCTCTACCAGGCCTCACGCTCCTGCTATCAACAGGTTACAGGGCAACCCACAGCACCGGCCAGCGTCGTTCTGGCATCGGAAAACCGCAGATCCATGAATGTAACAACATCAAAGTAGCCTAAAGTGAGTTGTAAGAAGTACCCAGAATCCTAAGGCATTCTGAAGACCACCCAAAGCAAACGAGAACAACAACATTGAAACAATGAAAGGAACCGTCCTCCCTCTTCCCTCCAACCCCCTACTCTTCTTCATCGTCTCCCGCGTCTGAGGAGGAAAACGACGACCTCGAATACACTGCGTCTCCTTTTCCCCAATCTTCGTCTCCACCTTCTCCCCTAAGGCCATGAGCTTTTTTATGGAGTAAGTCATCAGTGAGCGTCTGATGAGACCTGGGGGACATATCTCGTCCATTTGGCAAGTTCGGCACGCGCGATTGAACCCTGATCTTCTCCGATTTCCGGCCTTCTTTAGCACGGCGGCGGTGCACGCGGCGGCGGAGTTCCAATTCGTATGTGTGAGCGATAGAGCGCGAGTGTTGGTCGAGGCGTCGGCTTTTCTATGCTTGTCTCACCAGGCGTCAGCCATGTATCGGTGATAATCGCCTTTACCGGCGATCTTACGACACTGCACGAAGGAGCCCACACGGGTGTCCTCCGACAACTGCGGAACTGGGCGCGGGATCTCACGGCCACGTTGATCCAGCTTTTGGCTCAGCTTGGGGACCAGATCGTCTACACCAACGACACCGACCTCAGCCAGCTCCAGCTTTCCCCTCCCGCACCGGAGGCCTTCATCCCAGAGCTCCTTCCTTTTGCGCCCCCCCAATGACCCAGCACCGTCTCTCCGAAGGCCTTCATCCCAGAGCTCCCATCCGACCTCCCCACCTTCTGGCAGTCATCTACCGACGCCCCTCTGTCCTTTCAGATAAAGCAGCTGGATGCGCCGATCCTCGAAGCCGCCAAGTGGAGGGAGTGGTGGAACGCATATGTGGCACTGAGCTTCTTTCTTTTCCGAGTAGTGTTCCCCTCGGCTGAGCCAGCAAACAGGGACGAGGAAGACGAAGTCCCGGACGATGAGGTGGAACCGCTGATAGTCCAGGCGTGGAGGACGAATACGGAGGGAGAGTTGTTGGGGATCTTGTTCGGGAAGGTGAGAGACCGCCACCTGGAGCCCTATGTTGCCCCCCCATACCAATACGGGTCGTCCGTACGGTCCATACGGCCATACAAACCATACGTACGGCCGTACGAGCCCTTTCGGCGGCCTTCCAGGGTCGGGATCTGGCATCTGGTGGGGTGGGGGGGGTGTGCATGCTGGGGGCTACGCCCCCGAAGTGAAAAACAGAAAAAGAAAAAATATTCATCTCGGGTGTGTGTGTGGGTCGGGTGTTAATAGGGGTGCGGGTGCGGGTGCGGGTGCGGGTGGGGGTGGGGTTGGGGGGGGTTGGGGTTTTAATTGATAAGGGTGCGGGTGGGGGGGGGGTGTGGGGCCTTGGCATGCTGGTTGGTGGTTTGGATCGGCCGGGGTTGGGTAACTTGGGTTAATATGTGGGGTTAATAGGTGGGGTTAACAGAGGAGGGGG